CCAGGGTCAGGGTGGTCTCACCTTGTCTCTCCAGAGCTGCCCTCCCATACTTTATGAATTTCTTCATGTATTCAACACAGGTGACATTGAGAAGGTGCTGCAGGGTCGCAGAGAAGCCCGTGAAGTTGTTGAACTGCCTCTCAACTTGCGACGCCAGCTCACCCTCCTGCTGCCTCTCCCAGCAGCTGTTGTCCACATCAAAGCTGAGGAAGTCATGGGCATTGTAGGCGAGATGGTAGAATTTGATATAGGAGCCATTGGGATACAAGTCACAGCCGGTCATGCACTGGAACACAAAGGGGTCTCGGGGGAACAATGAGCATCATGAGTGCAGCTGGAGCTGGAGCCCAAAAAAAGGGCACAAGACACCAAAGCTCAATTAGAGTTGAAACTGGACAGTGTTGTGTCAGACAACAAGAAAGGCTTTTTGAAGTATGTTAACAGCAAGCGGAGGTCTAAAGAAAACATCGGACCGATACTTGTTGAAGATGGTCACCTGACTAATAGGGATGAAGAAGTGGAGGCATTCAATGGTTTTTTTTCCTCAGTCTTTAATACTACTGATAGACCTTGGGCTGTCCGGTCCTCTGAGTCAGAGGACCACGACTGCAGGAGCAGTGACTTTCTATTTGTGGACACTGAAATTGTAAGGGACCAGCCGTATGAGCTGAATGTTCACAAGTCCATGGGGCCTGATGGGATTCATCCCATAGTACTGAAGGAGCTAGTGGATGTTATGGCAGGACACCTCTCAATCATCTAGCAAAGGTCTTGGGAGTCTGGGGAGGTCCCTGCTGACTCCAAGCTAGCCAATGTTATTCCGATTTACAAGAAGGGTGTGAGGGAAGACCCAGGAAACTACAGACCTGTTAGTCTAACCTCAGTACCTGGAAAAATTATGGAGAAGATCATAACGGATACTATTGAAAGGCATTTAAAGGACAATGCAATCATCAGGCACAGTCAACGTGTTCACGAAGGGAAAGTCCCGTAATTAATTTGATATCCTTCTATGATAAGGTCACCCACCTAGCAGGTGAAAGGAAGGCAGTAGATGTTTTTCTGGATTTTAGTAAGGCTTTTGATATTGTCCCTCACAGCATCCTTCTGGACAAGTTGTCTAGCTCTGGGGTGAGTGGGTTCATGGTGAACTGGGTGAAGAGCTGGTTGAACGGCAGAGCGCAAAGGGTTGTAGTGGATGGGACTACATGTGGCTGGCAACCAGCCACCAGCAGCGTTCCTCAGGGCTCAATCCTAGGGTCAGTGTTGCTCAATATTTTGATCAATGGTCTGGATGCAGGAGTTGAATGCACCATTAGCAAGTTTGCTGATGATAGAAAACTGGGAGGTGCTGTTGACTCTCTTGTGGGACAAGAGGCGTTGCAGAGGGTTCTAGATAGATTGGAGCATTGGGCAATCATCAACGGCATGAAATTTAACAAGAACAAATACCAGATTCTGCACCTGGGATAGAGTAACACTGGACACAAACATAAACTGGGAGGGAAGTGGCTGGAGAGCAGTCCTGCAGAAAGGGATCTGGGGATGCTGGTTGGCAGCAATCTCAATAGGACTCAGCAGTGTGCCCTGGCAGCCAAGAGGGCAAATTGCATCCTGGGGTGCATCAAGTACAGCATAAGCAGCTGGTCAAGAGAGGTGATTATCCCCCCGTATTTAGGGTTGGTGCAGTCTCACCTTGAGTACTGTGTGCAGTTCTGGGCCTCACCATTTAAGAAGGATGTGAAGGTACCAGAATGTGTCCAGAGGAGGGCAACACAGCTGGTGACAAGGCTGGAAGGCATGTCCTATGAGGAGTGGCTGAGGACTCTGGGCTTGTCTAGTTTGGGGAAAAGGAGGCTGAGGGGTGACCTCATTGCTCTCTACAGCTTCCTGAGGAGGGGACATGGAGAAGGAGGTGCTGATCTCTTCTTCTTGGGATCCAGTGACAGGATGCATGGGAACGGTTCAAAGCTGCCTCAGGGCAGGTTCAGACTTGACATTAGGAAACTTTTCTTTACAGAGGTGGTTGATGCCCCAAGACTGTCAGTGTTTAAGAAGTCTTTGGACAATGCCCTTAATAATTAGCTTTAACTTTTTGTCAACCCTGAAGCGGCCAGGCGGTTGGACTAGATGATTTTTGTATGTCCCTTCCAACTGAACTATTCTATTCTATTCTATTCTATTCTATTCTATTCTATTCTATTCTATTCTATTCTATTCTATTCTATGCTATGCTATGCTATGCTATGCTATGCTATGCTATGCTATTCTATGCTATGCTATGCTATGCTATGCTATGCTATGCTATGCTATTCTGTATTCTCTTCAATTCCCCTATGTCACTGCTCTGCTTTATGCCAGGTGGAAACTCTGTGGGTGAGAAACCTGTCCTGAGCCCTGTAGCTCATTGTCCTCGAGCTGCCCCTGCCCACAGCAGGGTTCGGAGCCATGGCAAAGCAGGAAGCACTGCTTTGGGGGAGTGATGGGACATGGGGTGTGGGCAAGTAGGAGGATGGTGGCACTCTGCCTGGTGCCCTGTCCTTGGCGCTGCACCACTGTGTGGAGCCAGGCACTTGTTCTGTGTCCCATCCCACAGACATGAGTGGAGAGGCCCCTTTGACTTTCTACTCCACTTTCTCTGATGACTTCTCTGGTGGGATTTGGGGTCCCTGGAGAGAAATAGGGGGGGCTGGTGTGAGGGCATAAATGGAGCTAAATGCAGCCAAGGCTTGTGCTGGGGACCAGGATGGCCCCATGTGACCTCCACACAGGACGGGGTGGTTTGGGGGTCTTGCTGGTGCAGGATGAGGCCCATTCCCTGCCCTCCTGCCAGCACCAGTTTGGGAAAGCTGTTGGTGGTGGCTCTGAGCTCCTTCTCACAGCTCCCTGCCTTGGGCGAGGAGGTGCTGGGCACCTGGTACTCACATGGTGTCTGGTACAGCCTGGCATCACTGGACAGGGACAGGATGAAGCTGCTCACATAGACACTGAACAGGTAGTGCAGGTTCTCCCACTCTGCTGCAGGCAGGGCTGGGTAGACCCAGGGGTGGAGGTAGAGGATGGTCCAGGTGTATTTCTGTAGGGTAGCAAAGACGATGTCCTCCAAGGTGGCCCAGGACGAAATGTCCACAAAGCTGGCGTTGTGGAAGACCAAAGTTTGGAAAAGGTGGAGTTTACAAGAGCCTGTGGTGAGAGGGAGGAGAGGAAGCGGCATTGGGGTGCACGAGGATGAAGGACGAGGTCAGGGGACTGCCGGCTCCAGTGCTCATGGGCAGCCTCAGGAGGAAGGGTGACTTGCAGTGTCCCTGGGGTCAGGCAGGGGAAGGTGGGGCAGATGGGCAGGGCAGGGGAAATCCCCTGGTTTCACTCAGTTTGCAGTTTCCTTCCTGTGAGCCTCTCCCTGCTTCTCCTCTAATTTACTCTTTTTAGCCATCCACTGCCCCAGTGTGACCTGGGAGCTGTCACTTAGCCGTGTGGAAGGGATGGCAGGTGGGACCTCGGTGCTGGTTTGGGGTGACACTTCCCCCAGCAAGGAGAATCAGTGCCAGACCCAGACCCACTGGAGACCTGCACACAGTGCAAGGTCTGGGGGGGCTGGGAGGGAGGGAATTTCACCCCAGTTTAGGGGCTCCTGGGCAGTGCTCAAGACCAAACCTAAAAGGAGGCAGGAGACTGAGTTCCATGCTGCAGTGCAGAAAGACGATCTGGCAGTAAGCAGGGCAAAGTGAAGCTTGTTTTGGAGCAGTAAGTGCCAGGGGAGGCTGGGGAGGGCAGGGTGCAGTGAGCGCCTGCCCTGGAAGGGGAAACACAGGCTGCAGATGCAGGTGAAGGCTTGTTGTAGCTGCAGGAGGAACCTTTGAGCGTTGT